CAAACTTCCTTTGCCTTTTTGTTCCATTCATGCCCTCAATGGTTGGAATGGATCCCATCCACATTGAGGAATAGCATCTTCTTTACTCAGTCCACCAATTCAAGTGTGATTTTCTTCTGGAAACAGGCTCAAGACACATCCACAAAGAAAGTCTTACCAGGTGTCTGGGCATCGCATGGCCAAGTCAAGGTAACACATAAAAACATCCAACATAAGTCTGCCCATTGTCAACTTAGCACCCATATGTCTCTACTTAAACCATAGTTAATAACTGAAAATAAAGACAAAGGATTCATAATTCTGGCTAACATGATTCAATTATCTTGCATATAACTGTCAACTCATGAAACCTTCTCCAGAAGAGGAGGTTAAGTCTTTAGATAATGTCTGCTCTTCTCCTTGAAATCTAGCAAATGAAGTACTATGATGTAAAATTAACAGTACTTTAAAGCTATCTATGAAAAAGAGTCAATATTACATATCAAAAATTTATGGTTCCTCATGATTTTACATGACAAAGGAATATGAGAGAAAAGACAAGATATTTGCTTTATGTGCATATATAAATATATATATTTATGTATACATACACATATATACATACATACATATATGTATGTATACAGACACATACCGATAACAAAAAGGAGGAAATATTTGTGACAATTATAGTCCTCATTTCAGTAGCTAGTCACGTGGTCAAGGCTGGTATTTCTAACCTTCTTCCACTACTCTTTCTCTATTCCCTTTACCTACACCGAGCTAAGGATTTTTCCCTGGTATGGTGACCTAAACATTTATTCCTGATTATTCTTGATCAGTAGTAGTTCTACCTGGATTGGGGTATCCACAGAATGGTCATCCTATCCTCTTGATTATTATTTTTTTTCATGGTACAAAAGTATTTAATAAGCAATACATTAGTACAGAAAAACACATAGTTCATAGCTCATCCTTTAAAACCAGAATACCCAATGTAATGTCAGTACAGATTCTTATTTTTAATTAAAAAAAAATCATGAGTACACATTGGAATCGAACTACTATGTTTTTTCTTCTATCTATAGATGTGATATACATGTTTTCTGATATGTAATATTCTACCAAACATCGCATTAAATCAAAGCAGACAGATGACTAGCAAAGCTGTTTACTACCTTCTACTCATGCTGAGATAGACTGGTGGAACACCATCTTGGTAGGAGAGATTTTGACAGGAAGAAGAAATTAGGAGTCCCTCCTTACCCCAACAGAAAACCTAACAAACTGGTTTATATGGAAAGGATTTTCAGCAAACATGCACAAACACATTTAACATACTATTAAGAACAGGATATCTTTGAGTCAATTTCCAACACAGCATACATTCATCAGCGCACAGTAAAATAAGAATGAATGCCAACATAGAAAGCATTTGTGCCTTCATAGCACAAACTAAGCACACAGCATATAATACTTTGATCTTTAAGTGGGTAATCATGGAAGTTCCATGATTATGTCCACTAGGTTAGCCTGAGTATTTCATCTATAAAAATATTTTTTCAAAAATAATGCCTAAGAGACTTATAGGAACAGTAGGACTACAGTATCAGGACCAACAGAAGACACAGTGATAAAGCAACCACAAATGTTAAGGCTAGGGAGTTGGTTTTACGTAAAGGACATCTCTTTCAGTTGATCCCTACAGCTAGGACAAGCTGTGATCACAGGAGATTCGGAAATTTCAAGATGGGAAGCTGGCTTAAATAACGCCCTAGATAAATACTCAAAAACCCCAATGAAGGTGAAGGACTAAAATTTTGACCCATGTGAAAAAGAGCTCTGAGTGTACAAAAAGAAAATTCATGCAAAGTCTACTGGGACAAATAGGGTTGGTCATGGTGGGTTATACAACACTACTGACACGCCAACATGTATGCTGGGGAAGAGCCCCCCAAGTGGAATGCCTGACCATGGGTTTGCTCCAGAGGAGTCTGACTCAGAAGCACCTGAGTGAGGGATCTCACTGGGTAGGTTTAATGAATACAAGAAGCTGTTTCAGGATAAGCAGGTCCAGAAGGGTTAGGTCATTTTTTTTTTTGGCCCATCAATACGTAACATGAATGCAGGATGGAGTCAGTCTTTCTAAGTAAGATGTATTCTGCTATCATCATTAGCTGAGCCTTTTGGACTCTTGGGCCTGTGACATCCAGAATGATCCCATTCATTGGCTGCACTTAGGATCTAGTGACGTAGATTATTCTAGGAAGTTGGCATAGAAGATGATTTGCACAATGAAGTCACCACTAAACCACTGCTTAAGTCCAGTCCCCGGCCTTCTTTTTCTGCTCTGTAGTCTAGAAACATTTCTTTAAAAGCCAGAAAATCTGTAAATGTGAGCAGCATGTCAAATACGTCACCAACCACTTCATCCTTATGGTGCTGTAACGTTGTTGTGAAAGCCGCCATGTTAAATCTGGGAATGCGCTCTAGCAGCTGTTCTTCAATATACTTTTCTACAAGAGAAATGTATTCATTAAAAATAGGTATGTAGATGAGTTTATTCTCTTCTGTGTCTTCAAATTCCTGGTAGCACTTGTCCATGAAATTTCTCTGTAGTATCTGGAACTCTTGATTATTAAAATACTCCTCTGCTGAGATAACACTTTGGTAAACATTCACATGAGCTACAAACATTGTCTTAGTAATTTGTGCTTCTATAATGGAAGACTACAGATTATGCAATTTATAATGAGGAATATCAGAAATTTACTTTTTTATAGTTCTGGTGGTTGGGAAGTCCAAGATCAAGGTGCCATAAGGTTTGATTGTCTGGGGACTGCTGTCTGCTTCTAAAAAGGCACCTTATTGCTGCATCTGCTGGAGGGTTAATAAGTTGTATTTTCATATAGTGGATGGCAGAAGGACAAGTGAACCAAAGGCCATGTGAAGCCTCTTCTATAAGGCCCTTGATCCCATTCAAAAGAGAAGGAGCCCTCATGACCTAATCACTTCTTATAAGCCCCATCTCTTAATATCACATTGGCTATAAGTCTTTACATCTGAATTTTGGAGGGAACATATTGAATTTATAAAATTCTGCCAATAATGACTCCAAAACTGGTATCCTTATCAGATTCAAAATACATTCTTGAGTGTGATGCGCACCACCTGGAGGATGGACACGCTTGAAGCTCTGACTCGAGGTAGGAGGGGTGGCAAGGGCAATATATGTAACCTTAACAACATTCGTACCCCCATAACATGATGAAATAAAAAGATATATGTATATATATATATATATATATATATATATATATATAAAACATTTATTCCATCCCAGTAACCCAAAATAGTTTAACTGATTCTAGCACCAGCTCGAAAGTCTAAAGTTTAGCGTCTCATCTGTATATCATCTAAATCAGATATGGGTGACATGCAAAGATATATTACATATTAGGTAAATTGCTTTATACCTGTAAAGTATAAACTTTATACCTGTGAAATCAAAGAAGTTGCATGGTTCCAAAATACAATGATGGGACAGGCACAGAACAGACATTTATATTACAAAAGGGGGAAATAGGAAAGAACAAAGGGCTACAAGGTCTCAAGTAAGTCTAAAACACAACAGGGTAAATAACATTAAGTCTTAAAAGTTAAGAATAATTTTTGAAGCCATGTCTCATCTTCCAAAAATAGTGGGGTGGGAACTGGATCCCCAAGGATCCAAGGAAACCTATCTCCATGGCTTTGCTGGAGGCAGCCCACACCAAATCTCTCATGGGCTAGAATCCAGTGCCTGTAGTTCTCCCTGGCTAACATGGTATGCTGGGGGCTATACAGGTCTAGGGCCTTGGAGGCAGCCCTACCTCCACAGATATGCTGGGAATTGCCCTAGTGGGGTTCTATGGGGTGGCTCTGCCCCTGAGACAGGTTGATGCTCAAAGTTTCTCTGAGGCATCCTTTGAAATGTAGGTGGAGGAAGCCATTCCTCCACAGTTGTTGCATTCTGGATGCCTGCAGAATTAGCACCACATGGACATTGCCAAGGTTACTGCCTGTGCCTTCTGGGGAAGTAGCTCAGCCTGCACCTGGGACCACCTGAACCATAGCTGGAGTGGCTGAGGCACACTCTGCCAGAATTCAGGGAGCATAAACTAGAGGTGCCTTTGGGCAATGAGCCCCAATGTACCACAAGTGCACTGGGCACCTATTTGGAAACCACTTTGCCCTCAAAGGCCTTGGCACTCTGGACCTATTATGAGCATTGGCAGCCTCAGAGATCTCTGAAATGCCTTCTTAGCCATTCTCCCATTGTCTTGATGAATAACACCTGACTTTCTTCTACCCAAACTAATCTCCTTAATAAAGGGTGACTTGACCACACCACTGGTTTTCTCTCTTAAATACGCATTTTTATTCTTTACATTGCCAGGCTGAGAATTTTTCCAAATCTTTATGTTCTGCTTCCCTTTTAAATATAAATTACATCTTTAAAAAGTTTCTTTCTGTTTCATTTGACTATAAGCAATTAAGAGAAGCCATGCAGCACCCTCAACACTTTGCTGTTTAGAGATTTCTTCTACCAAATATTCTAGGTTGTTGCTCTTAAATTCTGCCTTTCACAAAATCCTAGAATACAAGCACAATTTAGCCATGTTTTTCCCACTTTATAACAAGATGACCTTTCCTCCAATTTCCAGTAAGATATTATTAGAATATTCTTTATTATCCACATTTCTATAAACATTCTGTTGATGACCACTTATGGAATCACTAAGAAGACTGATGCTTTCTCTACAGCTCTTCTCTCCTGAGCCATCACCACCATCACCTTTAATGTTATATTCAGGCTTTTTCCAGCATTCACTTAAAAATTGTTCTAGCCTCTAACAATTACTCAGTTTAAAATCCACTTCCACATTTTAGGGATTTGTTATAGCAGCACCAACCCACTATTTGGTACCAATATCTGTCTTAGATGCTTGTGCTTCTATAACAGAACACCAGAGACAGGGTAATCTACAAAGAAAGGAAATTCATTTTCTTATAGTTTTGGGGTCTGGGAAGTTCAAGATGATGGCAGGTTTGGTTGCCTAATGGAGGTCCAGTATCTTCTTCCACAATGATGCCTTGAATACTTCTTCAAAGGGGAGAAACACTGTGTCCTCACATGGCCGAAGGCAGAAAGGCAAGGAAACTGATTGCTGCAGGAAGCTTTTCTATAAGGGCTTTCAGCCTATCAAAAAGGAAAGAAGCCCTCATGATGTAATGACCTTTAAAAGTTCCCACCTCTTAGTAATATCAGACTGGCCATTAAGTTTCAACACCTGAATTTGGAGGGGACATATTCAAACTATAGCAAATATCCACATGATTCGTCCCCAGTTAGAACAAGTAGTTTTTCCCAAATTTCCTTGTCACCAATTTTCCAACTATACTTTTTCAAAGTCCCTGACCATCCAGCCTAGCCATTAGCCATGACCCATGAATTGGTATATAATCACATGTCCGTCCATTTCTCCTTTCAAGTAAATTGAACAACCAAGTGCATCATTTGGAATTCTTCCAATTGGGAATATTTCCCTTTACCACTGCCCTTCAGGGATGTCCCAGAAAGAAGCTGTAGTGCTGCAGCCCTCCACATTTCAGCAATGTCTGAATATGTAGCACAGCCATCTGTATCTAGGCCCAAGTCTTCCCTTCCCTGGTGAATTGATCATAGGTAACTCCCCCTGAGGCCATAGGTGGAGGGTGTCAGAGAGAAGGCAATCCATGGGAATATGGGCCACATCTTCATGTAATGTACTTGTGTTTTCAGGGCCTGCTCAGGCCAGAGAGCATATATATCACTTACGCTTAATGATGGAATGTTGTTGTGTGTGCACAACTGTCTGGCTTGATCAGTCAGAAAGCACCCAGTTCATGATAGGATCTTGAGCTACCATAGTAACTTTGTGGACTATTATTTAGTCTTCAGCCTCATGTAAGACCTGGAGCAGACTAAGAATTGTTTTTCAAGAGGAGAACAATTATTGTTAGAGGATGACCTGATTTGGCTCCAAAATTCTAGATTCCATAAATGGTCATGAACAGAATGTTTGTAGAAATGTGCATAATAAAGAATATTATGATGATATCTTATTGGAAATTGGAGGAAAGGTCATCCTTATTATAAAGTGGGAAAAACTTGGCTAAATTGTGTCTGTGTTCTAGAATTTTGTGAAAGGCAAAATTTAACAGCAATGAACTAGAATATTTGGTAGAAGAAACCTCTAAGTAGCAAAGTGTTGAATTTTGCTGTTATTTACCTATGTATGTCTGCCAAATGCTCCAGAAGACTTTCTATCTGTTACTGCCACATCAAACATCAATAAGTCTACCAGATCATATGGTCCATGAAGGAGAGAAGTTTGCATAACAGCCTATATCAATAGTAGAGCCTTCTTAATTCTGAACTCCACAAAAATGTCTAGCAGCTTTTCAGGTCACTCAGTAAATGGACCAGGGCAGTACACCCAAATGAGTTAACTGTTGGGTTATGCTGTCTCCATAACCCAAAGAGGCCTGGTACGTATTGGGCAACTTTTTTGTTTGTAGGAAGATCCAGGTGCAATAACTTATCTTTTAGCTTATAACTGGTTACTCAACCTGTCCCATACCACTGAACTGCTATACATTTCACTAAGATAGAAGGTTCTTGAATTTTTGTTGGATTTATGTCCCAACTTCTGGCACAAAAATGTCTTAACTAAATCTAGACAGTTGCTACTTCTTGATCACTGGATGCAATCAGCATAATATCATAAGTTTAATGGATCAAGAAATGTCTTGTGGAAGGGAAATGCAATCAAGATCCCTCAGAGAATATTTGCAAATCATATATCTGATAAAAAGACTTCATCCAGTACATATAACCTTTAAAATGCAATTACCAGAAAAACTTATAATCCAATTAAAAATGTGTCAACTAATTCAACAACACATGTCAACAAATACAAATATTAAATAAAGGCACAGGAAGATGCTGGACACCAGTAGACATCAAAGAAATGTAAATTGAAACCACAATGAGAATCCAGAACTCCCCTATTAAAATGGCTAAAATTGAAAAGACTACCCATACTGGATATTGCAATGCAGTTGACATGTTTGCTCAAAGATAGGCACCAAAAATGAGTGAGGAGATAGTTACAGAAATTTTAAGGGGGCATTCATTTTAATTTTGTGTCATGTTAGTATCCACCTCTGGATACCACACTGCTTAATTCAACTTTCTGAAGATTTTATACAGTGACTCCTCTGTTATCTATTGTATGTTTCCCCTACTTCTTTATCTTTTTCTAGCAAAATTCTGTGAAAGTATGATAATTGGTTAATAAGTCTACCAAAAAACATGCCCTTTACTTTATAATTAATCTAACATCTATGACCCAGGGATAAGTTATTCTTTTTCCTTAATGATTCCTTATAGTGTCAAGAAAGTTACCTGTCACAATTCACATACAAAATATAACTTTACAAATAAGTAAATTATAGTTTATTTCTGAATGAATGTTCATTAACATGTGGCTGTAGTAATGCTCTGAAGGAAAATCTGAACATTTCACCACCATTTTAAATATTCTTTAATGCTATAATAGTTTTTCTGTATGTTGGGGTAAAGAACAAATTTCTCAACTACCCTCTAAGGCCCCTTAAGATCTCACTCTTGCTGATGTCTCTGGACACATCTGGCTCCTCCCTGCTTCTCTCTGTGCATACCAGCTACACTTTTCATTTATTGTGTCTCCAATATCAAGTCTCTCTGATAATCAAGGTCCTCCAATAATCAAGGCTCGCTGATGGTAAATGTCCACAGGCATCACTTTGTAAGAAATGAAGACTCCTGAAGCAAAAAGTGCATTTTGACCAGATCTCCAGGAATTCATAGGCAGTATACTCTGGAAAGCACAGACCTAGGCCATGTCCCACTGTGGTCCTTGTCTTTGTTTTTCATTTACTCCTTCCTCTCACCTTGGCTTAGTAGTAGTTCCCATCAGATTTCAGCTTAAAATGGGGTAACTAGGGATATACGTCTAAAGTTGAACTTCAATTTTCATGGGGAGAACAACCATACTTGGGGTTAGCTCCCAGTGGGAACTAAAACTTTGGCCTTATTAAAATAGTGCTTTGATTATCTAAGATAAGACCATACTAATGAAAACACTCAGAAAAACAAATTTCACATATAAACATGTGAGAAGTGTCACCTGGGGTGGAAAGTGGCATAAAGTATTATTTCAACTGATAAAATTGGAAGTGTCTACAGTGAAATTAGATTTATAATTCTAAAACTCTGCAGTACCCTTTGGGACAAGCTGGATTTCTCATACAAATACAAATCCACAATGCCCAGTAAAACAGCTTCAACTTGTCCTACAGGGAATTCTCTGGCATTCTTACGGGAATTTCAATTTCAAGTCCTTCCATTTCTGGCAAAAGCACACAGTTGTACTATTGATTGACTCTTGCGTTCAAAACAAAATTATATAAACAAAATTTTTCTAAGATTGGGAAATGGAGCCTCCTAAATGAATGAGAGTGTGATGAATTGCTACCTGTGTTACTGGCATTCCTGTGCTATTGTAATTTTTGCCATTTTAGAAAGTCTAACACTTTTGAGGGATCACAATTTCTTTTAAGATATGGGTAAGAGAAAAATGATTTCTATAATCTTCATAGAAAAATTAAAAATACTATTTAACGTACTATAATTTTAGATTGGATATATAAGCTGTCAAAATAGCCAGATTAAAATTGGTTACCTATTATTGAATTATCCTTGTATTTTATTTTCGTGAGTACATATAGATAAGGAAAATAGTTGTAAGATTGAATTGTTCTTTAATGATGTTTTATTATTTTGTTAACCTTGTTATAGTGACTTGGTAAGACAGCTTGTAGTGAACTAGAACATTAAATGATTTAAAACTGGGTTTAAGATTCGGGTCATAATTATTCTTATGTTAGAATTATTTCTGATAATTCTGATATAAATATCCATTCTTTTTAATTAATCACATTCTCTGATTAAACTTTTAAGGCCAGTCTCTTCAATATTAACTCCTGTATTCTTTCACCCACTCTGTCAATAAGATAACAGTTATGTGTGTGTGTGTATGTGTGTGTGTGTATGTGTGTGTATGTGTGTGTAGAAATTTACAGAAAATTTCATTGCACTGCTCTTTCTGGTATTTATTACTTAATAAGTAAGTACATACCCACATACAAATTAAAAGTGATAATTTTCAACTGTTTAGTGATTTGGAATTTTATGGAGTGAGTCCATTCTAAATACATATATATTTAACAATTATAATTATTCCCATTAATTATGTCTATTGCTGTATCAGGTTCTATCCATTGGTTTAACAATATTCTGCTAAAAAACTGGCAGAGAGGAAAATTCACTGAAGTAATCAGTGGGTTTTCTCTAGACTGTTAGTTCCAATCACTGGCAGAACAAAGACAGAGCAACTTTCAAATGTGGAAAAGCATCAGTCACATTGGCTCACACCTATAATCTGAGCACTTGGGAGGCTAAGGAAAGAGGATGATTTGAAGTCAGGTTTCAACACAAGCCTTAGTAACATAGCAAGATCCTGTTGCTACAAAAAATAGAAAATGTAGCCAGCCACGATGATGCATGTCTGTAGTCCCAGCTACTTGAGAGGCTGAGGATACCTTGAGCCCAGGATTTCAAGGGTGCAGTGAGCTATGATCATGCCACTGCACTCCAGCCTGGGCAATAGACTCTGGCCCTGTGCCAAAAAATTGAAATATAAAAACCAACTAAAATAAAAGAATATATATGGAAAGAACTTTCAGACAGTGTTAGTAAATTTATCAAACACAAGATTTATAAAGTAAAGTTTAAAATCAAACCTCTTATATAGTAATTTCACATAAAAATAAGTTAGATATGGAATAAAAGAGAAAAGAAAGATTCCTAGGGTTGACGACCTTAAATGAACACCTGGTTAAAGATGGAGATTTACCCCCAAGGCTATGAGCCTTTCCCTTTATTTCACCTTCAGCTTTCTCTAATACTTTCTCTCTCCCTCCCCTTTGGCTTGCCTTTCCCAGATGTATTCATGCAAGCCCTTTTTATGCTCTGAATATTTCTCTTCCTCTAATTTTTTTGTCACCCTCTCAAATTTTGCTTTCATCTTCCCTCTCCCTTCTCTTTCCATGCCCTCAACTCCCCTTCTTTTTTGAAGAAGTTCATTAAAATATTCTACAGAAAAAAAATGTGCATTTGTCTACAAATGCCAAATGTCCACATATCCTAGAGTGTTTTATTTCATGCTTCACACTATGTTGCCACTTTTTTACCATTCACTTTAAATATTTTTTGGTATTTTTGGCCTCAGCTCTATCACAAAATGAAAACTGCTCTCAATAAAGCCACTAAAATTTTATAAATATTCGCACCCAAATGTCTCTATTAAATCATGGTCCTGTTAAAACATTTATTTTGATATTTGGCACAGTATTTCACTTGTCCTTGAATATTTTCCTCTTTTATGATCACGACACTTAAATTTCCAGTTTCCCTCTCACTTTTCTGATCGGGCTGCTCAGGATCCTTTCTGGTATCTTCATCATCTGTTTTTGGAGTCAGCTCTTGGTTGCATTAGGAGATAGGAGTAGTTGATGGATATTGGTTCTATATAGAAATGCTTAGGGAGGTTGGAGTACTCATCTGGAAAAACTACCAGGAGCAGAAGGAAGTAAGGCAGCCAGTGAACAGTCAACTTCATGCCCCAACACTAGCTCAAAGAGGGCTGTTCCTACCTCTACTGAACTTCAGATGACAAAGCTCGCACTGTAAATGCCATTGATTAGGCTGAAGAACGTGTTAGATGGTGTCTTGGTATTGGTGCCTTCTCTGACTTTGCAACCAAATTCCATTTTAGTCCTTGTACCCTTTTCTTCCTCTCTCTACTTTCCAAATGTAGGGTGGGTATGTTTCATCAGCTAGCCTATATCACGTCCCTTCATTCTAGATG